CTAGTAGTTACCCCTTTGGATATATCACCTATTACCGCATCAATGGGGTGTCCTCTAGCTACTCTTCAATCTTGTGGTAGATTGTTTCCATCATTGGTTTGTTGACTTGGTGTTTCTTCATTGTTTGCTTCCTTTTCTTTTTGCCTTTCGTCTTCCTCTTTGTCATTCAAGTTTATGTTTTCCATGCTTTCTATAACCTCATCATCACAAGGTTCCTTTCTAGGCAAGGCATTGTTAGTCTCATTAAATACAACATGAATAGACTCTTCAATGACCATTGTTCTTTTGTTATAAATTCTATAAGCTCTACTTGTAAGTGAATATCCTAGAAATATGCCTTCATCGGCTTTAGAGTCAAACTTGCCAAGATTTTCTTTTCCATTATTTAAGACAAAACATTTGCAACCAAAGACATGAAAATATGAAATATTGGGTTTTCTTCCTCGGTAAAGATCATAGGGAGTTTTCTTCAAAATATGTGTAATTAAAGCACAGTTCATAACATAACATGCGGTGCCGACGGCTTCCGCCCAAAAATATTTTGGAAGATTATTTTCATTTAACATTGTTCTAGCAAGTTCTTCCAATACACGATTTTTCCTTTCTACAACTCCATTTTGTTGTGGAGTCCTAGGAGCAGAAAAATTATGTTCAATACCGTTTTCTTAACAAAACATTTCAAATTCTTGATTTTTAAATTCTCCACCATGATCGGTTCTAATTGAAACAATATTTGAAGATTGTTCATTTTGAATAAGCTTGGCAAGTCTCTTGAATGATTTAAAAGCATCGCTTTTATATGTAAGAAATAAAGTCCAAGTATAGCGAGAATAATCATCCACAATGACCAAAGCATAGTAATTGCCACCAAAGCTCATGGTTCTAGTTGGTCCAAAAAGATCCATATGTAAAAGTTGTAAAGGCTTTGTGGTAGAAACAATATTTTTTGATTTAAAAGAAGCCTTTACTTGTTTTCCTATTTGACAAGCATCACAAACTTTATCTTTTTCAAATTTGAGCTTTGGTAACCCAATTACTAAGTCTAAGGATATCAATTTGCTTAATTGACCCATGCCAATGTGTGTTATTCTTCTATGCCATAACCAAGAGTCATCTTCCTTACTAATCAAACATTTATCGTCATTTGAAGGCATACCATCTAAGTCTATCATATAAATGTTATCCACTCTATGACCAAGAAACTTAACTTGCCCATCAATTAGACTCTCAATTTTACAAGAGGTTGAGTCAAAAATAATTTTATAATTTTTATCACATAATTGACTAATGCTAAGCAAGTTATGTCTAAGGCCCTCAACAAGTAAAATATTTTCTATAGAAACGGAGGAGGAATTACCAACTTTTCCAATACCAAGAATCTTTCCTTTGTTGTTATCTCCATAGGAAACATGTCCATGTTCTTTCTTAATGAATGATTGGAACTTAGTTACATCTCCCGTCATGTGACTTGAGCAACCACTATCCAAGTACCACTTGGAGCTTTTAGCCTTCAAACAAACCTACATCACAAAGTCAAGATTTAATCTTTGGTACCCACACCATGTTGGGTCCTTGTGTGTTAGTCTTGGGCTAAGTTCCCTTAGGAACCCACACTTTCTTTAGCCCAATAATACCATTCTTTCTAACTTTACAAGTGGATGCACTATGACCTTTTCCACCATAATGAAAACATTTAATGAATGGGCTACTTGTCATGTAGGATGGTGAAATGAAAAAGTTTTTATATGATTTTTCTTGTGTGTTAGTGTCAAAGCCTAAACCGGATTTTTTGAATATGCATCTTTGTTTACCAAGCAACACATTTAAGTTGTCTCTTCCACATGTGAATTTGCTTAGAATTTCATTTAAATAATCAATTTCATTGTTTAGATCTTTGCATGAAGTACATGATGAAGATGCATGATCATTTGAAGATAGGCATTTAATACAACCAATGCTAGCATCAAGTAATTTGAGAGTTTCATTTTCATCCTTCAACTCTTTTACTTCCTTTTCTAAAGATGCAATTTGTTTTTCCAAGGAACTAATAGTTTTTCTTGATGCTCTAAGAGCTTTAACATGTATTAGTGTTTCATTATGCATTTCTTCAAACATGTCAGACAACTCATCATATGAAGGGGACAAAGTAGAGCAAGATGAGTTTACCTCGGTTTCAGATTGATTTTTGTCCTCATTTGCCATTAGACATATATGTTGAGTTCCTTTGCTTGATTTCTCCGGTGGTCTTCCATCTTGCATGAAGCATAGATTTGCTTCTTCCTTGGAGTCATCATCGGAAGAACTAGATTCATCATCCCAAGCAAGATAAGCCTTCTTGAAGTTCCTTCTGTCCTTGCCTTGCTTCTTTTCATATTTGTCTTTCTTTTGAATATTTGGACAATCCAATTTGTAGTGACCGGTTTTTCCACATTCAAAGCAAGTGATAGTGAGTTGTGAGGATCCTTCATCTTTAGATCTTCTTATAGGAGGAAATGCGGATTTCTTTGAAAAATTCTTCTTAAAGAATTTTCCATACTTCTTTACGAAGAGACTCATCTCATCTTCGTCAAGACCATTTTCGGAATCTCCATCTTCTTTTTCCTCATCCTTCTCTTTGCTTGGTGTCGAGGCCTTCAAGGCAATTCCCTTACTTTTCTTGATGGCTTGTTCCTTCAAGGTTATTCTGGTTAGCTCCATTTCATATTCCTGGAGCTTGCCGAACAAGGTTGCAAGATCCATGGTTTTCAAATCTTTTGATTCCGTAATAGCCGTCAACTTAGGTTGCCATTCGCTATTATGCACACTTCTCATCACCTTAGCAATTAACTCAAGGTTAGTAAAAGATTTATCTAAAGCATTTAGATGAGTGACAAGGTGTGTGAATCTTTTTTGCATACTTTGAATACTTTCATTTTCATGAATTTCAAATTCTCTAGTGAGTGCATTTAATTTTGTAAATTTAACATCACTAGTTCCTTCATGGGTTATTTGAAGAATATCCCACATTTTCTTAGCATTCTTACAATTTGAAACACGAAAGTATTCATCACGACCTAAGGCATTTGTAATCAAGTTTTGAGCTCTAGCATTCCAATTTCCTTTCTTAATTTCATCTTCAGTGTAATTATCTATATCTTTAGGAATATCTTCATCTTTCTCCTTTTTTATAGTAGGTAGTGTATACCCTTTTTCAACTATACTCCATACTCTTAAATCATTAGATTGAAGAAATATTTTCATTCGACTCTTCCAATAGGAATAATCGACGCCATTGAAAAAAGGAGGTCTAGTACTAGAAGATCCCTCAAGGGGCATATCATGGTTCAAAGAAGCCATCCCTTCTCTTGAAGCGATTAAGCTCTTTACACAAGAGTTCAAGCTCTGATACCACTTGTTGGACATGTGGCTTTAATACTCAAGAGGGGGGTGAATTGAGTTTTACAAAATATTTTCGCAAAGTACCTCCTTTGATGTTTTAAAGACTATTTCTTCAATAAAGTGATTTAATAAGGAAATGTCTAATTGTAAAAGCAAGTGTAGTGAACAACAAAGTAAGCAATCGTATATATAAAGACAATCTAAGATGCAATTTTAATACTTAAATAAAGAGATTAAGGTTAGAGCAAACTAGATGTATCATGGTTCGGTCACCACCACCGTGACCTACGTCCAGACTGAAGCCGCTCGATCAATTCTTTTCACTAACTATCAAGCTTGAGGGTGCTTGACAAACCACTACAACTTTTCAAGACTTCGGGCTCTTGATGCCTTACACTTTTTCACTCCAAATTTTCTTAGGAATTTGGTAACCTCTCAAATATAGGGTTCACTCCCCTCTCAAATCAAGAAGTAAGATTGAGGTGATTAGAAGTGGCTAAGTACTCTCAAAGTACAGATTGAACAAATTGAAGAACTAAAAGATGTATAACTTCAAAGGAAAGATGAGCTCAAGTGTATGCAATGATCAAAATGAGTAATTAATGAGCAATAAAAGGCTAGCAAGAGTAATAAAGCTTCAATAAATTCTATAGGGTCGTGTACTGTTCATCCCAGCTGATGTGGGTATTTATAATGACACCTCCTATGAAAACTAGTCGTTTCTAGTCGTTTATAGCCGTTGTAATCCGTACATATCCGGATATTTATCGGGCACATATCCGGATATTGAATATGCGGATATTCTGGATTCCATATCCGGATATTGGATATCCGGATACTATGCATTCCATATTCGGATATTGGATATCTGGATATTCAAAGTGGAATATCCGGATATTTCATAGCAGCAACCTTTTTTTGTACAATTTCTGAGTTTCTACTCTTTCCAAATGATCTTTATGACTTGTAATGCATTGTTATTGGTTATGGAGATTATCTAGAAAACTTTGTATCACATAGGTGCTTCTTCCAAACCAATATTGTACATATGAGATCATTTGTCTTGACTTTACTTTTAAGGATGCAAGCTTTTGAAATATATGAGTGATGAATGACCTTGAGCTCATGCAATGCTTTGTATCTATACATCTTTACACATTTTTCCTAAGTCCTAAATAATATACCATTTGAGCTTTTAGACTTGAATTGATGCTTGAGACTTGGTGCATGCTTTCACGTTTGCTTTTTGGATATTTCTTTGACTTTGAATCATTCCTCTTTGTTGTCATCAAAACTATGTTGACGTGGAATTATCAAGTGTACGTTGTATCCACATCATCACTTTGATTCATCAATCCTCCTTAACCTTGATTACTGAAAACTTCTGATGATATTCAAAGTATGAAAATATGGGTGTTGTACAAACACACTCCAAACAGAATAAAGAAAAATAACAAACACTTGAGACACAACGTGTAAAGTTCCCCTCACTCACTCGTAACAGAATCCAATTCCTCTCCTAGCATCCATGTTATAAAAATCAGATCGATCCGGCTGGGTCGACCCGAAAACCGGTGAACCGATCATATAACCGGTCCAATTTTTATATTGAACCAGCCATGTTACAGAACTGATCTAACCCGGTGCGACCCAGTCTGTTTTCGTAACACTGGTGACTCGGCCCGATATATATATAAAAAAAACAACTAATTTATTTTCATAAATTAATGTCTTTCTTTTTTTTTAATCTCAAACACAAATGATTTGTTTTCTTTTAAAATATTTGAGTAATTTGTAATTTATTAACTTACATAGATTATGTACTACAACACTAATATTATCTTAATTATGCAATATGCAGAGAATTTTGATTTGATTTATAGTTAGAGATGTCGTTTACTGAACCTGAAACACTAGTATCACAAATATTATATGTTTGATTGATCTTATGTTGAACAATGATGTGTAATTTATTATTTTCATATTAAAATATTTGAAATTGGTATATTGTTTTACAAGTATTTAAGTATATTTATAGTTTTTTTAATATAAATTGTAAATTTACATATATTTACCGGGTCATGCGGTTGAACCAGTGACCCAGTAACTCAATACCTCGATCAAGTCAATAACTGAGCCGAGTTTAATAACATTGGCTAACACACTTGCACTCCCCAATTACATTTCCTAACATTTTCCCTTTTCTTAGTTAATTTGCAGAGGCTTCCACTCACCAAATAGTGCCTCATCCACTTGGGTTTGGTCTTGCATCTTTTGGACCATCTAACTCGTGGGCTGATGCATGCCTCTGGTAAGTCTTCTTCTTGATCCATATCTGCCATTTTAGCTTGGGCTTCTTTATCTGTTTGTTGGGCCTAGTTCACTTGTTTCATATCAGAGGGTTTAGGTAGTGTGTGATCCTCCATGTTTGTGATTTTTTTTCTTTTTTTTAATTATCTTTTAAATTATCATTCTGAAACATAAATTAGTTTTTTTCAACACCAATTCATTCAAAATCAATTCTACCAAAATTTAAAATAAAGAAGGACAGCCGATTTTCAAAGGGAGGGGGGTAAGGTACATTTGATTAAAGCGATACCTCAATTGCACTAATATTGATGATATCTACAAAAAGCTAGCCCAAGAAGGAAAATAATAAGTTTTGGTGAAAAGAAATTTACTAACACGTGATATTATTGAAAGAATTAAGGTATAAAAGCACAGATGAAATTATGAGTAATTAAGAGGAAAGCATATTCATAGGCAGAAGTCGTACTTAAAGGAATGAGATGAAATAAGAAAAACCACAACTACAAAAACAAGTGAAGAATCACGACGAGAGCAAATTTCACGCATCATTATACTACTTTCATTTATTAATTAGATTTAATAAGGAATTTTCAACGCTTTACACTATTATCTATAGATCGAAAACAATTAATAGACTTATATAACAATTTACCGTATTTCTCTATTCCAGTAGGCAGTAGACAAATAATAATTTTATAGATTCAATTCAATATTATATTTGAATTGCATGTAAACAGTTATATTTTAATTTTCTTTTATTTGTTTATACCGAGGTGCCAAAAAACAATATGTTTCCTTGCCGTATTAGTTAAAAGATCGCATGTCAAGTCCATAGGCCCCGATTTAATAGACAATTTTTTCCACAACAAAAAAAAAAAATAGCTAAGCTGAATTAATATTTTTCTCTCTTGTATGGAGGCATCCAGAGTACAAGAATGGAAATGGACAAAAAGAGAGAGAGAGACTGAAGAAAACAATGAATATATCGCATTGAATCATAATAATTAGAACATCATCTACTATAACCAATAGTTAGATCTATGTGATAAGGCCCAACAGAGCCGAAGTTAATATGACAAACAGAGGGCTATCAATAAGCCCATAAAATATCTTAACTAGGAGGATTGAACGAAAGGGTAATAATGCTATCTAGTCAGGGAAAAAAAAAAACCAGAAATTTTGTCAAATTCTTTTGTCAAAAGCTCTGGCAAAAAGAGTTCTGACTAGCTAGCATTTTTTCACAACAAAAATCCTTAAAATTACATAAAACTGTATCTGCGCTCAAACTTGAGGTGATTTAGCACCCAACCCAAGCCATGACATGGATTCAGCTGGCTTATTAGCAGACCCCATGGGATTTGTCAATTGATATGGCGCCTTGGCAGCAATTCTGTAAAGACAGCACAAGAAAATAACAATATTATCAACTGAGGAAATACAATTAAAAAGGTAAGAGCTTTGTAACATTAATTGCAGCTTTACAATAAAAAAAGAAAGAAAAGGAAAATCAATTTCCACAAGTGTTCAAATCAATTTCTCATGACACAAAAACGAAAAACCAGATCTATAAATCCCTCCTACAATATCAGACAAACTCTCTTAGTTATCAAGATTGTTTCAATCAAAGGGTAAACGAAGATTTTTTTTTCAAATAAAGAAAAAGGAAAAAGGATCAACAAAGACTTTAACAACTAGGCACTTTGTGAATCAATTTATTTTATTTTAGGCATACACAGCTTCAGAGATTAAAACATATACACAAACACAACGCAACGAGCAATATTCCATCTATAAAATTTTACTTTATTTAGGTGAGAGTTCCTACCTATCCTTTCTTTTCTCCAGGAACCGATGAAGTGAAGCTTTCCTAGCAATTGGCAGATCTGTACATAAAGGAAATTCATGATCAGAAAAAACATGATCCATTGTACAAAAATATTTCTTTTCAGTCATGTCAAATATTAGTGATCTTAAGAAATTACCACAAACAACAGGTCTGGATGAAGCTTGAGGGTGCTCATGAATCGAATTGGTGCCAGTACTAGGGACAATATTCACACTAGGAATAACTGGAGTACTTGAATCAGCAGAAGTTCTAACCAAATTTGAAGGAAATGAAGGCTGGCTCTGTGTGTAAGTATAAAGAGAATTGTTCTGGCTTTGGGAGATTCCTTTGCCAGCAAAGGATATGAGCTCATTCGCTTTGTCAGAAGGAAAATCATCAAATACAATAACTTGGCCAGCATAAAATATTGTCAATTGTGCAGCTTTAGGTCCCTTGGTCACAGATTTAATTGCACTGTAGATCATGAATAAAAGATCATACATTAGTATAATGGCAATATTTTTTTACAACTAAATAGCCATAAAGATTAGATATGTGAAACTCTTAACAGGATTAAATTATGAACTAGTTTGTAGTCATTATTCATAACAATCTTTCCACCTGTTAATTAAATTCAAAACAAATTAAAGAAGCAAAACAACTAACCTGGAATTGATCAAGGTTGGAATCTCTTCTGCTGGTAGATTGGGACGATAAGCAGCTTGTGAAGAGAACAAATCCATAGCTGTCAGGTTCTTTGGTGTCACGTTGTTTTCCTTGGTAGGAAACAAGTTCATGGTTGTTGCAGACTGACAAGATGTCTCAGGTGACCCTGTAAAACTCAGATTTAGAAAAAAAAACTCTAAAGAGAAACCGCACAAAAGCATCTGAAAGATTAACCCCGTTTCAAAACTGAAGGGGACAAATATTTAAATTCAACAATTTTGTTTTCCATTATATCATTTTCATTATATCTCTATTAAGACTTTTCTCTCTCTCCCTCTCTCCAAATTTGAGGGGCAAAATTGGAACCATGTGTTAGATCTGAGAATTTGAATAGTTATTCAGTACAACAAATCCACAGCATGCAATTGAAGGAGATGAAAAGGATGAAACATGAGAATTGTGATAGATGTTCAAGCCAAGAGATGGAACAAAAAAAATAAAAAACATCAAAAAACTGCTTCTCTTCACTAAAATTTATTTTAGAACGAACAAAGAGGAAAGGATTAAGTAACCATCAAGAATCCAATTTTTCCCTATCTCAAATAAATAAGTATATTAATTCCAAAATTTCCCCTTCCTATAATAAATCATTTTCTAGGGAACCAAACAGAGAACTTAGCAGCATTCAAAACTTTCATAAGGGAAAAAAAAATTAAAGAAAAATTAATGATCCATACCACTTGGTTCGGTGTTGCATGTCATCCCGAGGCTAAGATCTCCGAAGCTACCCTTCTCCTTGATATATTGACTCAATAGACTACAAGTCTGAGAGAAAGTCGACTTCTCCGGCGACTTCGCCGGCTTCTGGCCGGGAAATTCTGAGTACTCCGATGAACTCGACATATTCAATTTACCCACAAAGAAAACACAGATATTCGGTGGAAAAAAGGTGAAGCAAACCCAGGAATCCAATCAAGGAAGAGAGAGAGAGAGAGAGAACGCTTCAACGATTAGGGTTCAGTGTCTGTGAAGGAAGGAAAACTACTGGTATGTGATGAGGATCTTTGTCTCCGAGGCTTTATCTTATATATAAGAAATAATAATAAATTTTTATTGGATAAACAAAAAATAATAATTTTTATTTTTATTTTTGAGGGGTTGAAGTGGGAGGTGGGAAATTGAAGCACGAGGAATGTATGGGTGTTTTTAAAGGGGTGAGGTTCTTTTCTTTTGTTTTCTTGCCGCTGTCTCCAACCATGTTATGCTGTTTCGTTTGTTTTGTCCAAACTCCACGCTCACATTGCTTTATTCATTATTCTTCTTAATTGCTTTATTATTATATTACTATGTTCTTGTTACTTTGAGTAATTCTAATTTCCACCACGTGTTCTTTGTGTCGGTTAATTACACGGAAACCAGACGGAGACGGGACTGGTTGTGGTTTCCCTTTTGCTTTCGTTTAGTTCCATCCAATTACGTAATTGCCTCTGCTTTTCTAAGGCTGCGTTTGTCAGTGCCGTAAATGCGCCTTCGTTTTTTGTGTTTTTTACTCATCACGTTGTGTTCATTAGAGTAAGTAAAATATATTTATCGTATTACATAAGATATAATTTTATTTTGTTTAATATATAAAAAATAATAATTATACGAATTAAAATTATTTCATATAATATAATAAGGGAAAAGTGTGTGTCATTTTAAAGAATGTAAAGTTGTGTCATTTTAAGAGAGAGAAAGAGATAAATAAAGGAGGAAGGTGAGTTGACAAAAAAAAAAAATGTGTGTGTCCCACCTTTGTGAAAATAAAAGGATGTAAGTTGTGTCATTTAAAAGGATAAACATTTTTTCCATATAATAAATATATTTTCTTTAAATTTAATTGCAAATAGCATAGCAATGATTTTGTGTGAAGAACCTCCATTTCTATAATTATTATTTTTTAATTATTTTTTTGTATAAATACAATTTTTATAAATAGATACAACTTTGCAATTAATTTTTATTGCTTTTAGAGTAAAAACAATGGGGAATATTACTCTCAGTGGATGTTTGGTAGAGGAGAAATTTTTTTTATCTGGAAATCATGATTTCCAAGAGTATGATGGGAAGATAAATTTTATGAAAATGTTATCAAAAAGTTGTTTGGTAGACTAAAATATTCTATGGAATATTGAGTTAATTTTCTTGATGCTATGTTTAGTTGTATTAAATTTTCTCTTGCCATAAAAATCCTAGAATACCACCCCCTGAATGGTATTTTCAAAAAAAATTACACACAAAATAAAATCCCTGAAAAATCATATTTTCGAGAAAATTTTAAGAATCTTGTACCAAACGTGGATAAATACGATTACCACTTTCGATTTCCCATAAATCCTAAAAAACACTTTATACCAAACGCCCCCTTACATGAGAGTAGTTTTCTTGTGTTATATAGAGAATCCAAGTTGGGCCACCATTAAAAAGCAAAAAAAAAATAAAAAAAAATAAGAGGGTGTGATTTTCGAACTGAGAGAACATAAGATAATTATATCACGTAAAATGAGAATAGTATTTTCTAAAAAACAATTCACATTAGTAGTTAGTGAATTCGAAAATTTCTAAATTTATCAAATGAGAAGGGTTGGAGTATTCAAGTGTGATGAGTCCCTTGTCAGACGGGTTTAAGAGGAGCCCGTGGCGGAAAATCACCAGGAACTAAGCTAGAACAGTCGCACCAAGTGAATCGGACACCACGTCTTAACCCAAAACCTTAAAGCATTGGGTTAATGGATCCATCCACTCATATTCAGTTTACTTAACCCATTATCAATAATTGTGAGACTCATTACATTTGAATATTCAAAAAAAAGATATTTTCAGAAAAATTATATTTCCTTAAAAATGAAAAAAAAAACCAAGAAATTAAATCTGCTTGATTTTCTAATTACTACTGAAGTTCATATCCAGGATGATGCCAAACGTGAAACACATTACCAGCACGCATGGATATAATCATGAATAGGATTTTCTGATTAGGTAAAAGGAGATTTAAACATTAATGAAGTATCCATCTAAAAATTCGTTGACATAAATGCAAATCTCGCATATTTTATTTTTAAAACAACTAAATACTTAATTATAATTTCGGGTATAGTGTAAATATTTTCCATGTGATTTGTAAGAATTGAATTGACTTGTTTGTTTTTTTATCTGATGGATTTCCATTCATGGAATGAAGGGAAAAGGACTTAAAATTTCTTGAAAAGAACAAATTTTCATTTCAAATGAGCATTCACTTATTTGGAAAAAATTTAAAATGATAAGAATAAAACTAGAGATTATAATTTATAATACAATATTTTAATCAATTTTACTTATTAGTAAATATTTCATAATTATGTAAATTTTATATAAAAAAATATGACCAATATTTTACTTCTTTAAATTATCCCATCCAGTCTACTCCTTATGGTATATTTTTTTTTTGATAGACACTCCTTATGCTATATTTAGATGGACAAATTTAAAGGGACAAGACCGCAAGGTTTTGCATTTTAAATAAACATTCTGTTATTTTTTTCAAAAAAATAACATTTAATAAAATAAAAATTATTATGAGACATTTCAATAATTTTTTGTTTTTAAAGTATTTTATAATTCACTATATTTAAAAATAAAATGTTAATTTATTCATCTCTCTCTCTCTTCCATGTCAAACTCATCCATCCAAATACAAAAACCGTGGCCGGCACAAGAGCCCCGGCATTCAAGTTATATTATTGATGAAAGAGAAAACACACTGGTTTATGGTTATGTTAAACATGCTTCCTTTGCTTTCCATCACTGCATTCAATTATTTTTTATTGAACTATTGATTGCTGTCTAAATAATCATTTTGGTGTATAAAGGTAAGGCATGTAAGTCTAATCTTCGGATCAAGTTGTACTTAATAAAAAAAAAATCCTACCAAAATGATAATTTCAATAAGACTCAAATACAGGTATCTTTTATTTATTTTTCTTACAATAATGGTATATTTTTTTAAAATACCAATCTGTATTCAAAATCTTAATAGACCCGACTAACCGATGACTTATTAATGAAAAAAAAATTCCAAAATTTGAAAATTTATTTGTTAATGGTAAGCAGAGAGCATCTAAGGGAGCTAACTCTTATTTGCAAACAAATAATTAAGTTGTCTATGTACAGCCTATGCAATTATTTGAAGGGAAGTTAGAATATAATATAATGATATAGTATTATATTATCACGCGCAATTGACTTATTCTTCGATTAGATGTGAGTCATGTGACTTTAAGGGTTTGTATATATTTAACTATTTGAAAATCACACATGTCTTTGATTACGAGACAGAGCATGGGCGGCTTGTGCATGTGCGTACTCCTTTGTTGAAATTCGTAGAAATTTCATGTTAACTCCTTTTCTTTGGTTCTCATGTACTATTTTATTTCTATTGAAAAAAATAAATTCAAATTAGCAAGACCTAAGTTGAGGATGCTTCGTTTAATAAATAACCCCCCCAAAGACTCAATGGGTGCAGCTCAGTTGGTAATTTGGCGCTGAGTTAGTGGGGTTGGATATGTGTTCGATTCCCGCTGAATGCATTTTTGGGGAGGGGGCTGAACCTTTAGCCATCACTGTTCCCCTGCACTCCGGATTAGTCCCATAGCCGGCTCAAAGAGTCGAAGCTCGTGGAGATACCGAAGGGAGTCAACTCGTCTCAAAGAGATAATTATGGTTGAGTAACTCCAAGAAAAAAAAAATAACCCCCAAAGTTCAATAACATTTAAAATTGATCTATTCAACGTTTATAGACGTCTATGTAAATGTATAATACTGAGTCAATTTATAGATTATATATAAGGTAATAAAAGTCAATTTTATATATTCTTTGGGTTATAGAATAAAATAAACAAAATTATAACTTGGTAAATGTGGTCCACTAAGTCGGATAAGAAAATTATTTAGTACATAAGCAAGTTTGATTATTCAACTGTCAGCAACACATGTTTAAAACAAGTCCATATGAAAGCCACCAGTTGTATACTTGAATGATCAATAGTCAGAGATGAAATTCTGAATAAATATATTCATATAACTTGTTATAATTTCAAATATACGTTAAGTAAAAACAACTTTTTCTATAAGTTATTGTTTTCTTAATAATAAAATTGAGTTGAAAGTATCTTCAAATTTTAGTTGAAATGTAAATTACAAAAGCCTTTAGCAAATAAATTTGGGTTTTATAAGAGTTATGTTGTAGGAAAAGTGATTGTGTTATGTTATAGAGATTCGTTTTGCGTACCGAAGTTTTTTTTTGTTTTTTGCTGCGGACCCCACAAAATATTGTGTGTGTAGAAAAAAATTTGTGGTCATGTTAAATGATAGACGATAAACCCAATAAATTTATGCGATTTATGATTAATTTCTAAAACTTTAAATATGTGGATAATAACACAAATATTTTTATTTTTCTATTCAATTAACTTGTTTAAGCATCTAACATATAACAATTGAAATCGATTTAGTTGAGATATTCAAGTGTGATGAATCCCACATTAGTTGATAATGAGCTAAGTGAAGTGAATATAAGTAGATGGACTCATTAACCCAATGCCTTGAGGTTTTGGGTTGAGATGCGGTGTCGGACCCACTTAGTGTATTTAATCCACTTAGCCTATTAGTGGTGGTCCCCCGTCACGGGCTTCCCCTTGTTGGGAACTCGGTTCCCTCAAATCGGCTCAGGGGTCTTTTTGTGGAAGTCAATCAACAAGATTCTCGATCTCGGATATCGGCAATACCTCGGCCTGAATTTTTCCAGATCGGGCAGCGCAATGAAAAATAAAAATAAAAACACAAATAGGAGAGAGAGAGAGAGAGAAGGGGAGAGAGAGAGAGAACACAAGCAGTTTTAACGTGGGAAAACCTTCTCCAATGAAGAAGTAAAAACCCACGGGACCTAGTCCAAATCAAAAATCCACTATGAAAATAATGGTTACAAAGAATCAAAATACACCAATGTGGTGGTTAACTCAACCTCTCCAACAATGGTGATAATCAAACTACCCTAGAGATGTTTCACTCAAACTCTCTCTAGAGATCTCTTAAATACAAAGC